GTCCAATAAAAAAATTGTTACTAAAATCATTAAAAATGTCCAATAAATAAGGTCCAAAAAGGATCAAATTAATGGATCCTTGCCGATATTGTCTCTATTTCAATATCAATGTCCCCTGGGTTACAGTGTACTCTTCTTAAATTCTTGAGCCTCGTATGCATAGCAGCGCCGATCTAAGGATTGAAAACGATATCTTTGCTCTTAACCACGACATAGTCCTCGAATATGTCTCTCCTTTCTTCTCAGCTAGTCGAAAGTGATACCTCAAGCACTCCTCTCCTCAATATCTCAAGCACTCATTAACATATTCAACCAAATATGATACCTTAAGCACTCATTAACATATTCAACCAAATATGACCGTGGTCCCACAGCTGCTCCTAGATGTTTCCGTCCTTGCGTTGTTATGTCAATTGTTGTTTCCCCAAATGACCCTCTTGCAATATTTTCTTTCTGCGGTTTTACGATCAACCAACATTTCTCACCTTTTGGGTAATAACCATAATCAGGCCCGATTTCAGATAACGTATCCCACCACTTTTTTACCTCTGTTACAGACCCTGCACCACTTGCATCGTCTGAATATATAGTAGTATAGTACGTTGTTCTGATGGCGATGGACATTATTTTCTTTACACAAAAGTTCTGATGTTTTTTATCAAGACCAACTTCGTTCAACATTTTCATAAACGTGCTACATTCTTTTGAGAAAACACCTAAGGCACTAATAGACAAATTAATAAATTTGACTGTTTCGAAATGGTTTTTCTGCTCCGTAATTAGATCCTTGTATCTTTCCCTTTTGCGAGCAACGTTATTTTGGAGATTGGATTCATATCCGACAGAGAGTTCAAGTATGTACAAACAATCATTTGAAATCGAAAGAAGCAGATCTGGGCGATAAGTGTCACCGGTTATTATTGAGGGGCTCTTGTATCCAGGAAGATCAACAAATAGTGTGGAGTTGTGGTCAGGTTGGAGTATTTTTTGCGATAAAATTGAGAATGGAGTCATGTCTCTAAGTAAATCTTGGAAGGTATGACTGGCATCCCGCGACTACGTGCAGAAGGGTTTCAGGGTTGAGGCAGAGGGAACAATCCGAGTTTGACATTATTCCCCATTTTGTAAGGTTTTTGCGTGTGGCAAGGGTGTTGTTGATGTAACGAATGGTGAAGTTATAGATGCTTTTTGGCAAGCTGGATTGAGATTTGGACCATAGGTTGTTTAGTGTAGACAACGAGAACTTGGTGATGTTAGAGAAAAAGGAGCCTTGGAGAAGCAGATGATTTTGAAGCTTGTCCTCTTGTGCAGATTTGAAACTTTTAAGAACTTCCTTTGTTGAGGTGTAGACGTCGTACTGTATGTTAGTATTGTCGCAAGTTGATTTCCATAAATTTCTTATACAATCATTTGGAGAGGTTTTTAAGGCCTTACGAGAGACTGTTTGGCACTGAGTGAACTTGACGGATGGAGGGTATATATTTAGTCCAAATTTATTACTTGTGAGGAAGACATTACTTAAAGTTCCGGATACGGGTATTTCAAGCCATTTCCGTACAAATTTATTAACTACTGAGTCCATGTTTTCAGAAACCCACGTTTTTGATAAATTAGCGACGGTAACATGCCAGGAGAATTTCGATAGGAGATAACGACTATAGAGTAAAATTTTTTTCTTTGGGTGTAGCGGTTTGAGGTCAATTTCTGACATGATATCTTCAAGGAGGGTGATTAGTTCTTGTTTGTGATCTTTGTTGGACATATTGAAATCAAAATATTTCCCTACGTATCGGAAAGACTCTCCTATTTTAGTGGCAGGTATTAATTTATTGTCAATGAGGAGTCTTGGTAGGTACTGGATTGATTTTGTCAGACTTTTCTTAATGCCAAATGTACTACATTTGTCGACTCGAGTAATCATGTTTGACCATTGACACCAGATTGAGAAGCGATTTAAAAGGTGCTGGTTTTCGCTCTCTTGACCGCTTATAACGGCTGCATCGTCAGCAAACTGGACATCGCTAGAAATCGCGGACATTTGAATCCCGAAACAACCCTTACGTCTATGTCCCTTATTACCCCTTTCGATCCCCGAAATTTATTATTCTAAATATAACTAAAAGCATTACAAAAAGGATTATTACAAAATGTAATCATACTAAAAGGATTACAAAATGTAAACAAACAAAAAACAGAAGAAAAAAGCTTTCGAATGATATATTTTGGGTCATTTTTGCCTAAAAAATCATCGCCAAACCTCGACATTAGAACCTGATGATCGTGTCTAATAAACGAACCTTCGATTTTATGCAAACTTGGAATGAAGCAAATACACATTGGCACCACAGATTAAGATATGCGAACAATTGTTTCGGATACTAATATCTGCACACTATTTAAATATTACCGCACATTTTGAGCTCATCGATCATTAAGCCGTAATTTGACTTTGTAAAATGTGGATTATTGTGGTTTTGATAAATTAGTTAGAAATCCTGCCGCACATTTAATTGCGTTGTTGCCCAGTTTTAAGTATCGTAAATAATCATTATATTTTATTATTGGTTTTAGTTTTCTTTCTCATCATTTCCTTGATTAGTTCACGGAATTTTGTTTCCACAATGCACAATTTTAATTTTGTATGATTCTTAAAAGATATTTTATGTTAAAAGTGGATAACCATCTACATTCCTGATAAAATTTGAAACTAAGAGTGAACATGGGGACTGGGGCGATAATGCATGCTGTATTCCAAATGTCCGGGATTTCTAGCGATGACCAATGGATTGGATTTAAAAATTTGGTCATGAAACCAAATTGGCGGTATTTATCAGCTTTAATGTGTTGAATAAAGGTGTTGAAACACATATTGAAAAGTAAAGGACTAAGACAGTCTCCTTGAAGTACACCTCGGCCAACAGTTATGAATGGGGTAGAGAATTCGGCAGTTATAATTGTGGTGTTGAAGTCAGTATACAAGCTCTTGATAATTTCGTTAATCTGTTCGGGAATGTGATGATAATCGAGGTCAGATTGAATGAGATTATGATGCACTTCACCAAAGGCGTTTTTAAGGTCAAGAAGGGTGATGACAACAGAGCGTTGTTTTATTCTCGCTTGGTTGATGATGTTTGTCACTTGAGCTGTGTGTTCTAATAACTAGAACACATTTTCACATGTCATTTTCTAGCTGTGTGTTCTTGTTTGATGTTTGTTCATTTGAGCTGTGTGTATAATAATAATAATAATAATAATAATAATAATAATAATAATAATAATAATAATAATAATAATAATAATAATAATAATAATAATAATAATAATAATAATAATAATAATAATAATAATAATAATAATAATAATAATAATAATAATGGAAATATCAAATTTTATTTCACAACTATACTAAGATACAACCTTAATCTCTGGAACACAGGCAGAAGGCTGCAATTATGGTACAAGCTGGAAGAAAGGGAAAGCTAAAAATTTACAATGTAAAAGATATTTAGATACTGTATATTTACATTAATTGAAAAATACTACCATGTTAATAAGTTAGGTTCCGTCCAGTCCTTGTCTTTGCGGCAGAATGTATAATAAGTTGATCTAATACAACATGCACCTATTTTAGCAATTAGATAATAAGTTTTTTGATGATCTAATAACAAGTCGTTAGATATAAAGTCCATGAATGAACGACTGCTCTTTCCCAGAATTCCCAAAGCTCCAACCGAGATGTCGACAAACTTTACTCTGTTATACTGATTTCTTAGTTCAGAACATAGACCACTATAATGATTGTGTTTACGTACAGCATTGTCTTTAATTCTGGTCTCAAAAGCGATAGTTAATTCCAAAACAAATACCCAACTCCGTTGTTTGTCTATAACCACAATATCAGGACTTTTTGTTCACCAGTAATGATAGAGGGGCTCATATATCCTGTGATATCACAGTATAGTTCGATGTTGTTGGTGATTGATAGCAAATAGTCAGCTATAATCTTCAACACAGAATTATGTCTCCATGTATAACGACCCGCTTCTAGATGAACTTTGCATGCAGACACAACATGTTGAAGGGTTTGCGTGTTGTAGTATACTTTACATAATGAATTTTCGCTTTTCTTCCAAAGAACCATATTCTTCAAGGTTGGTAAGGTGTTGTTTATGTAACGGATACAAAAATTGAATATGTTCTTGGGTAATTTGTTGAGGGTTCGATGCCATTGTTTCACATCTGATACAAGCGTTTCCTGCCAAAGGGCTTTAACAACGATGCTCTGTGATACAAGCTTGTTCACTTTATCTAGTTTTTCGTCTCTAATTTCCTTTAGAACCTCTCGACAATTGTTAAAACGATCATACTGAATGTTAAAACCCGATCTTGTGCTACTGTATACATGTCTGGCGTCTTCATTGGTTGAGTTCCTTAACTGACTTCTAAAAGATACCTGACAGTGGCTGACACTGAGCATGCTTAGTGGAAACATCAATAACATTCAAGCCAAACTTTGTTTTCGCTAAGAGAACAATGTCAAGAGTACCATTGGGAGGAATCTCTAGCCATCTACGTAACTTATTATGACACAAGTTGTCTAAATTTTCTTTTATCCAGGTCTTTTCAATATCGGCAATAGTTAAATGCCAGGAAATTTTCGACATTAAGTAAAATTGATAGAGTTCCAATTTGTACTTGGGGTGTAAGGGCAACAGATCTATTTTCTTGAGAATATTTTCCACCATTTCCAGAAGTTCCTGCTTATGAGCGCTGTTATCCATCTCAAAACTGAAGTATCTTCCTAAGTACTTTAAATTACCCCCATTATCAACTGTTGGTATTGGCTCAGTATTAACAAAAACTTTCGGAAAGTTTGCTTAGCAGCAGAATTTACTTTTTCTATACCAAATGTCTTACATTTGTCCACCCTGAATTTCATATCACACCACGTACACCACGCAGTGAAAGCATTTAACAAGATCTGATTTTCATACGTTTGTCCCGTTATAACTGCCGCATCGTCGGCAAACTGATATCAGTGTTTCGGGCGAGTATCCTAACTGGGTAAACTTCTCTGATTTTATATACTGGACAAAGGTGTTGACTAGCAGATTAAATAACAGTGGACTTAGACAATCACCTTGTAGGACGCCTTTCTCGACATGCATGAACTCGGTACTATAGGAATCAGTAATAACTGTGGTATGCATGGAAGTTTCTGTACAAACTGTCGATTAACTGAATTACTGACTCAGGCATATGGTGGTATTTTAATACAACTGGTATTAAGCGATGATGCACTTCGCCAAATGCATTACGAAGATCAAGCAATGTCACTACTAATGATCTCGGCCGCCTTTTGGCTTGACGTATAAGGTACGCTAAGTGAGCCGTGCGTTCGTAGTTGCCGGAAATCCCAGGTACAAATCCCTTTTGAATACCTTGTTCAATAAAGCCATTTGTTCTAAGGAAATGGAACATTTTGTTTCGTAGAGCTGATGTAAAAACTTTTAGTGAACCGATTCTAAAGTAATTGGTCTAAAATTTTCAGGTTCATTTACTGAGTTACTCTTATGGATTAAGATCGAAGCAGCTTTCTTCCAGATTATGGGAATTTCTCCAGCTGTCCAGATCTTACTTATTATCATAGTTAAATATGATCGAAGGTAGGGTGACTTCTTAAAAACAATAATGGGAATTTGGTCTAAAGGGCAAGGAGACCCGCTTGCTTTCATTTTGTGTATTATCTTGCTAATTTCCCGGTAGGTTGGCGGCGAATCGTCAAAAGCCTGATCTGGTTCTTTAAATCGGGGTATCCAAGATGGGATATTAAAACGACGCATTGGGTTGCTACATCTCAAGAATGTTTTAAAGTAGTCCGTACAAATTAGTTTATTGAATACAGGTTTTAGCTTTTCATCAGCTTCTAGAAACGTTTTTGTGTACGCCCAGAAATTGTTTTTAATCTCGTTATTGTGGTCGCCCTATTACCGGTATCATTTGCACTTTGTTTACCAGTAAGCTTCCCACGCAATAGTTTAGCAACATACTTAATCGACCGTAAATTCTCATGAGTGTCCCGCTTCAAATTTTTCAATTCTTGTTTGAGCTGTTGTTTCGAAAATTCTTTGTATTTTAACAAAAGACTGTTTGGTTCTACATCCTTTGTGCGTTGAATAATACCAAAATTGTCAGCGAAGTAATTATACACTTTGTTAGACATGTAAAAAATTACATTGTTAATATTAAAGTCGTTCATGCTGTCCATAGCTAGTTCCGCCCTGAAAAATAGATCAGAATTTGCCCATTCACTATCTGATTTTGGCAGTTTTATACCTGGTTTAAGTTCCGGATGTTCAGGTGGCATAGATTCACCAATATCAATTTCCCCTTCCTCGCTTCTCTCGTCATCCATTGTAGCTATTTCTTCATTAAGCCCAGCAATGAAACGGCATGATCGTTGATGCACTTTCAACCCTCTTAGACCTTTGCAATGTTTACCACACGCACATTTAACACCGCTCGTATTAGAAACTTGCGTTGTTAATACCTCACTCGCTCCATCGAATAAATTGTCTTGCTCCGAATCTAATATCCCTGAGTTCCGTTCGTTCGCTGTAGTTGATGAATCCCTATCTTTATCTCCGAGCTTCGCTTTGCATCGCCATTGATGTCGTCCAAGACTTTTAAAATCCAAACCACAGAAAGTGTATATAACAAGGACCGTAAACAACCCGACTATCGATATTTGTTTCATAGTAATCACGTAAGAGCGTAAAATATACACAAGAAGTAAAATATGTTGCTTGTACCAGATAAAATTTAGTTAAACGTTGACGACCAGCAGCAGCACGTCTGTCTGCCTTCGTGGTCGTAATAATAATAATGAATAATAATAATAATAATAACAATAATAATAACAATAATAATAATAAATGTATTACTTATATAGCGCTATTTACAGTAATTGATCAAAAGCGCTTCACAGAGTTAAGAATAGATACAGTATTTACATTATTGATTAGTTACATTGTTACTGAATTCGTTAAAAACGTTCCTAAAAAGATGAGTTTTAATTGATTTCTTGAACAAGTCAATAGATGTAAGTGAACGTATACCAAGTGGAAGACTATTCCAAAGATGAGGTGCAGCCGCGTGAAAGGATCGAGCGCCCAAGGTATAGTAAGCATCCTGCCTGCTGGAGGTTCCAGTAGAGTGCCACTGTTAGATCTTAAGTTGAAGGACGACTTCGATTTAACATTTATGAGATCCTTAATATAAGATGGTGCTAGATCGTGTATAGCTTTAAAAGCAAATAGTAACACCTTGAATTGCATTCTGGCACGTACCGGAAGCCAGTGTAGTTCATACAGTACCGGCGTAATATGGGAATATTTCGGAACGTCCATTACTAATCTTGCGGCGGCATTCTGAACACACTGTAGTTTAGATATTTGCTTTCCAGGGAGACCGTAAAACAAGCTATTACAGTAGTCAAGCCTGCTAGTGATGAAAGCATGTACTAAGATCAGTAAGTTGTCTCTTGATAGATATTTCTTAATTCGTCTGATATCATACAGGTGGAAAAAACAGGCTTTACATACTTTTGTGATATGAGTCGTCATGTTTAAGTTCGAGTCCAACCAGCTGCCGAGGTTTTTAATATGCGGGCTAGGAGAAATCACAGAATTATTCACTGAAATGCTGATAGGCAGGAGTTTACATAATTGCTGACGAGTGCCAATGACCAAGAATTCAGTTTTGCCATCGTTCATCAGAGTTTATCCTGGATCATCCAGCGTCTTATCTTTTCGATACAAGAAAACGTCGCACATAAAGCGTCTTCCTGTGACGTACTTAAACTTGGCTTAAAACTGAGGTAGAGCTTTGTGTCGTCGGCATAACCATGTGAGTCAGGATGCTGATCATCAATTATTTTAAACAGCTTGGATGCATATATAATAAAAAGAAGGGGACCCACGCACGATCCTTGTGGAACTCCTGAGTCCAAATCGAAACGTTGGGATAGCATACTTTCGATAGAGATTTGCTGATCTCTGTTGTGCAGGTATGATTTCAACCTCGTTCCCAGGCTTTTTGCTCTTGTGAAGCAAAGACCCTGGTCGGGGCTGGTCACGTGACCCATAGAAAATTGATAACCTAAGAGGGGATGGAAAAGTATCAAATTACATGTTTCCACTTCCGCACCTCACACTTCGATTGCAAGGAGTGACCGTTCTATACAATCATCTTTGAGAATCATATATACTTCAAAATACTTGCTAAATTGGTTTCTGTTTGCTTTTAAATTATACAAACATGCTAAACTGTAGATTCTTATAGCAACAAACAAATCAGAAAATCAAGCAACGAAAACGTATGATCGTATATGCTTGGAAATATTTGCCTTTTTATTGTCTCGGGGTTCGGGCGCAGTTTCATTTCACGCGTACGTTTCTGTATCTGGCTCTGGTTCAGATACGTATAATATTCTTATAATGTGCCATTGAATTGTTGTCATATGGAAACGGTATAAATTTTGTTAAATAGAGGTCTCAAAAGCGACTGTGTAGGTCGTAGGCGCTACGCCTTGCTGGTCTTACAGCAAACGTTACACATTTGGACACTAGCCAAATAGACATTGAATGTCCATTCTATTAATTGATTCTAAAACGGTTTATAGACATAGTGCTCTAGATTTTTTTAAAAAGGTTATCATCGTTTATATTCAACACCAGGTAGGAAGGAATGTTAGCGTACAAAATTGTTTGGGATCGACAGTAAGAATTATACGACAATTGACAACTGTATGCATTTCCTTTTTTGTCTGCACGAGTACCTGTTTGTTGAAGCCAAAATCAGATTGCACAGAATCTCCGATATGAATTATATAGCCATTCACCCTCGCCCCTTGAATGCAAAGGAATGATAGCCGAAAAGGTTTAGCAAAGTATTTTTTATTATATCTGGTATAAAGTGTCCCTACGTTTTATCAGGGATATATATACATAATTCATAAACTGTATATATGCGCACGAAGTCCAGCTCATAGAATTACTTAATTAATGAGTTTTAATAAGCCTTTTAAAGTTTCCATTGATAGATAGGTTGTTTGCGTCTAGTATGGTTTGGTGAAACTGCTAAAATGTCATTTATACAGTATACGATAAAGATTATTTAAAGTTGATTTAAATATTGATGACTCACAGCAGCATTATACAAGTCCAAAGAAGCTGTCGGGTTATTCTTCAAATATAAAGCCCTGAATTGGCAATGGGAATGAAAGGTCTTTATAAGGTTTATAAATTAATGTACCTGCTGTAAATTACTGTAACACACAAAATATGAAATAATTTACTATGAAGTACAATACCAGTGTCTGGTGCAATCTGGTGCATATATCGTCCTAAATATTCAAGTTATATGTACCGCACGCACGGAAACGCACAGTGGAGTCTTGGTGTTCGTCTGATGACAGATAGCTATACTTCGAGTCTTCGACATAATCATTCTTGATCGTTGAGTTTCAGCAATGTAAATGAAAGGAATTTTACAGTCCATAACGGGTTTTAATTAATCATGTGCTTTCACAGTCAAGATAGCACTATTGTTTACACACAGTTAGCGATGTTTGGGAAATCTTCCATTATAAAATAAATCCTTTGGCTTTGTTTAATATCGGACAGGATACACTTCAACCATAAACAACCATATCGTTCATTTAGTATCGTTTGATCGATCAGTCGGTATAGAATTAGGAAGACATATATGTTTCTACGGCGATGCGCGCTCAACTTCGCAAGCCAGGCGCGTGTGGAGTCCTTGGAAGTGAAATATGATCCAGCTTCTTGCTTGAAATGTACCGTAACACTTATAATTGATGACTTTCAGTATAGCAGGAAGTTGTGTCATGATGAATACGAATTTAAAACTGTTCCTTTCACGATTTCTTGTTGCAAATTACATTTTTATCACCCGAAACTATAACACATAAAATTGCAATTTTCCAAACGCAACAAACAGACTCCTCTACCACCCCTCCCTGCGGGGTCACGTGACCAGCCCCGACCAGGGTCTTTGCTTCACAAGAGCAAAGAGCCTGGGAACGAGGTTGGTATGATTTAAACCAATCCAAGACTTTTCCGTGAATGCCAAACTCATTTTGGAGACGGCGAAGCAATATTTCGTGATTGACAG